CGTCTGCCCCTTCCTCTCCCACTCATGCTCTCTCTCTCTCTCTCTAAAAACAAAAACAAAAAGAACCTGTGAATCACAGAATTTAATTCTGTGGATATTAAAAGTGTATTATGGTAAAAGGTCCAAAAGATGGTAGGTTAGGTAGGTTTTGATGCCAGCTGACTTATTAAAAGGTTTGCCAGAAATCATGGGATATGAACTAAAAGGGAAGGACACAGGATTGGTTACACTAAGAGATATTATTCTTTGCACACTGGCTAGTTGGGTGCGACTCAATATTATGATCCAAGCCACCAATATATTTCATGCCTCTGTATCCTTGATACCAGGCATAGAACGATGAATAACACTTGGGTTCTGCCCACAAGTTTTTCCTAGTCTGGTAAGAATGGTGAACATACCTAGTTAAAGGTGAAAGTTTCTCTACTAGAGGTACAGAGAGGATGATACTTGAGCCTGACTTTGCATGAAAAGTAGAATTTAGCCAGACATGGAAGGAAAATAATTTCAGGCAGAGAAAATGGAATGAGCAAAGCACTGAATCTCAAAATAGTTGGCATAGTGGGGAATGTTCTGTACAGAGATGATGGTTGATGATGCTGGAAAGGCTCTTTGAGACAAGGCCGTGAAGGGACGTGAATTCCATGCCAAGGAGTCTTTAAGTCACGCTGTAGAAAATGGGGAGCCATCTGAGGCTTTCAATCATTAAAATAACAACATCTTTTCTAAGTTTTTGGAAACTAATACCAGAAGCATCAAGGAGGATGAATTCACAAGAGTGGAAGAATGAGTGTATTAGCCAGCCAAATATTGATCTCCCAATTCTTCACCACCTGCTTCTTGTAATTCTCCAATAACAGTCTTTAGCTGCCAAATGGGCCCATAAAAACAGATGAAAAATTCAGGGTTCTTCACTTTAATTAAATGGGTAGTTGGATTTCTTTCTCTGTTTTCTCAAAAATAATATGAGTCTCTTTGGAAATAGGGGGATAAGTAAGATGATACTTATTGAATTCAGCAAATATGGAGACCAACTATGTGGAAATTCTGTGCCAGAAACTGTGTGGGATATACATTGACTCATTCATTCAACTAACATTTATTGAGAACATACTATGTTTTAAATAATCTGCTTGTTCCCCAGAAACAATGGGGAACCAAAGACACGTAATAGTCTCATGCATCTTGGAGTTTACAGTGTAGTAAGGGATTCAAATATTAACTAAATTATCCATACCAATAAGTGCATATCTATGAATTTTTGTAAATGCCATAAAAATTGAGGAACCCAAGAATTGAAAATAGGAGTAAAACTATCCTTATTAGATACAAGTCCTTTATCAGATATGTGATTTGCTAATATTTTCTTCCAGTCTGTGACTTTCCTTTTGTTCTCTTAACAGTATCTTTCATAGAGCAGAAGTTTTTAATTTTAATGAAGTCCAACTTAGTGATTTTTTCTTTCATGGATGGTACTTTTGGTTGCATCTAAAAATTCATTTCCAAACCCAAGGTTGTCAAGATTTTCTCCTGTATTATCTTCTAGGGAGTTTTATAGTTTTGCATTTTACATTTAGGTCTGTGATCCATTTTGAGTTAATTTTTGTTAAAGGGGCCCGGTTAGTGTCTAGATTTTTAAATTTTGAATGTGATGTCCAGCTTTTCCAGCTCCATAGGTTGAAGAGATATCCCCATCCTGAGGAACTTTACAATCTAGTAAAGGGAATAAGACCCATATACAAATGATTGGTTGAAATGATGTAACTAAAGTATTTGTTCTGAATGATGTATAGAATTACGCTGAGAAGTTTTAAAGAGGTGGCATTTGAGGTGATCTGTGAAAAATGAATAAAGTTTCATCACACAGGTGGAGCTGAGGAGGAAATAACATAAATGAAGGACAAAGCTTACTGATTGCAATGTTGAGAAGAGTGTAGAAGGCGGAAATAACATAAATGAAGGACAAAGCTTACTGATTGCAATGTTGAGAAGAGTGTAGAAGGCAAAGGTGGCAGTAGGGAAACCTCCTGGGTGGGAGGCCATAGTGGTAGTGGGATGCAATATGGTGCAGGTGATGGCGATGAGAAATGGTTGGTTCTAGATAGAATTTGGCAATGGAGCTGATGGAATTTGTATATCGATTGCATGAGGGATATGAGAAAAAAAGAAGAGCTAAGAATCACCTGAACAATCAGAAGAGGGGAGTCACCGCCTACTGGGATGAGAATCATGGGGCAGGAGCAGGTTTCGGGCTGCGTATTCAGGAGCATGGTTTGGGATATGTTAAGTCTGCCAGTTAGACTTCCAAGTGAAGTGTTGAGAGAGCAGTTGGATGCTTAAGCCTGGAGATCAGCAGAGTTGTCAGTGTGTGGGTGGTATTTAAAGCTATGAAATCAGGAAGTGAATGTAGATAGAGAAGACAAAAACTGCAAGGATTAAAGCTCAGGAGATCACAAATGTGACAGAAAGATGAGGAAGAACCAGAAAAAGATTCTCAGATGGAGATGCCAGTGAGGCAAGGATGAGAATCAAGAGAAGTGTACACCAAAACAAGTGTATTTAAGAAGGAGTTTGTCAGTGCTGCCCGTATGTTAAGCAAAATGAGGTCTTAGACTTGCCCATTGGACTTAACCGTGTGAAGCCATTAATATTCTTAACAAAAGCTGTTTCTGTGGGTGAGAAATGGCAGTCTGACTGAAACGAATTTTCTTAATGGATGGAAAGAAATTAAGTATAGATAATTCTTATGAGGATTTTTTGCTACAAAGCAAGGAAATAGAAAAGTAGATGGAAAAAAACTGGAAGTCAAGGAAGCCTGTTGTGCTTGTTTCTTTTGAGACTTTTGAGACAAGTGTTATGATAGCTGAGAGGAAAAACTGAGTGATGTTAGGAGTGAGAGAGGAACCAGCGGTGTCCTTGAATGAGTGAGACAAGATAGAATCCAGTGAACCAGAGAAAGGGCCGGCTGAGGATAGAGGGGTGGGGACAGTTTATCAATAGTGACTTAATTCTTTTTTTTTTTTTTTAAGAGAGAGAGAACATGAGCAGGGGGGAGGGGTAGAGAGAGAGGGAGAAGCAGGCTCCCCACTGAGCAGGGAGCCCGATGTGGAACTTGATCCCAGGACCCCGGGATCACGACCTGAGCCAAAGGCAGATACTTAACCGATTGAGCCACCCAGGCGTCCCAATAGTGACTTAATTCTAAAACAACCGGTATTGGCAGGGATGTGGAGAAAAAGGAACCCTCATGTCCTGGTGGTGGGAATGCAAACTGGTGCAGCCACTGTGGAAAACAGTATGGAGTTTCCCCCCAAAATTAAACATAGAACTATCGTATAATCCAGTAATCACACTACTGGGTATTTACCCAAAGAATACAAAAATACACATTCAAAGGGATACATGCACCCCTATGTTTACTGTAGCATTATTTACAACAGCCAAACTCTGGAAGCAGCCCAAGTGTCCATCAACAGATGAATGGATAAAGAAGATGTGCTATTATTCAGCCATAAAAAAGAATGAAGTCTTGCCATTGAGAACATGGATGGAGCTAGAGAGTATAATACTAAGTGAATGAAGTAAGCCAGTCAGGGAAAGACAAATAACATGTGATTTCACTCATATGTGGAATTTAGGAAACAAAACAAACGAACAAAGGAAAAAAAGAGAGAGAACAAACTGGTGGTTGCCAGAGGGGAAGTGGCTGGGGGGATGGCTGAAATAGGTGAAGGAGATTAAGAGTACACTTATCTCGATGAACACTGAGTAATATATGGAATTGTTGAGTCACTATATTATACATCTGAAATGAATATAACACTATATGTTAACTACACTAGAATTAAAAATTTTTAAAAATAGTGACTTAATTCACTAAGCAATGAGAAACCATTAAAGTTTACTGAGTAAGTGGTATGGTTCTTATTGTTCCTTATAGTCTACTTATTCCTTTTACTAATGGACAAATTGAAATGATCAAAAGTACAGTTAACCCTTGAGTAACACAGGTTTGAGCTGCATGGGATCACTTGTATGCAGATAATTTTTTCAGTAAATACAGTATAACACTATAATTGTATTTCCTCTTAATGATTTTAATAGCATTTCCTTTTCCTAGCTTACTTTATTGTAAGAATACAGAATATAATATATATAACATAGAAAATATGTGTTAATCAATTGTTAATGTTATTGGTAGGGCTTCTGGTCAACAAAAGACTAGTCAAGTTTTAAGGAGTCAAAAGTTATACCTGGATTTTTGACTGCATGAGGGGTTGGCATCTCTAACCCCATGTTGTTTCAAAAGTCTACTGTATCTCCAAAAATAAACAGTGAAGATACAGTTTTGTTCAAAATATTGAGTAGATGATAATTTCATGTCCAGAAAAGTTGAAATACACCCTGGTGTTTATCTCAGCAACTTCTCCAGCCTTCATGTCAAATCAAGATCCTCTGGCTGTTATCAGAAGTTGCTGAAATGTTTTACTTTGAAAATAAACTTCCTAATGCCTGAAACCAATTTCCTACATCCATTTAACCATCTGAAAATCAACAGTGGAGTTTATTTTGCATTCCTCTTAAATTTTGCTGAATAATAATTTTTAATGTTACCATTAAACACCAATGGCCTGACACTATCTCAAACAAAACTGGAAATCTAACGAATTCAAATCTCTCTGATTCACCACTTTGTAACAGATTAAATCACAATTTAGAGGAAGCTTTAAAGCAAATTATATATAGGAGAGTTCTTGATAGAAATAATGAATTCTTTCCATCATCTGTGAAGTAAGTTTGACATGTTGTAATTTTCCTATAGAGAGGAGAAAACAGACCAAATATATTAGGCTATTTTCTGGGAAATGGTTAGCATGAATTTAGGAAAATCAGCTTCATAGAAGTTTTGTAGTCTCATATGTATCTAAAACTTACCTCTACTGTGATCAGTAATAAGTTCTCAAGTCAGAAGGGGTTTCTCTCTTTGTATTGCTCTATAGACATGAACGTATTCACACCAAGAAAAGTAACTTCAGTAGATCACTAATGTCCAGTCTGAAGGATGTAGATGATTTAGCAACCCTAGAAGTTTTGGATGAGGTAAGAGACTCAGTTTAATTAAACCTAAACACTCTATATTTTGTTTAATTTATAGAAGTGATATGCACAAGTGGCTGTGTGAATATCTGTAAGCTTTCCTTGTATCTTAGCTTCCTGATTCTCTCTCCTATCTTCACTTTGAATATGTGTAACTCATATTTCCAGATCTCTTCAGCCTGTGTCCTTTTTTGCCTTTCTTTCTTTCTTTCTTTTTCTTTTTCTTTCTTTCTTTCTTTTGATAGTCAAATTACAAAGGCGTGGGTTTCCAGTAGCTTGAGTTGCTTATAAGTTACAGACCCATCTTCCCCTGAATTCATTCTGGGAGCCTCAGAGGGATGATGTACTGAGGTCAGAAAATGGTCCGCCTCCTACAACCTCCACATGGCATCCTCCCTCTATTTTCTCTTCTGCTCCACTCTCAGTGGTTGTACCCAGAGGCCTCTAGAAAACTCCAAGGAGCCTGTCTCTCTTACCATGGTCATTGTCCCCCTCATGGGGTCCCAGAGTCCCAGCTCTCAGAGGGCTAGCCCTTTAGGGCACTGAATTCTGCTTGAAACTCCTTATCCCAGTGACCTCAGAACTATTTCAAGCATCTCTTGCGAAGGTACAAATGCAAGCCAGTAAATTATAGTTTCAGCCTCCCTTCTCCCTCATCTCCCTCTATTCTGGATAATCAGATCATTAGAGAAATAAATAGCTCCTTTTCAGTAAAAGGTTAGGATCTCTATCCTGATCAATGGGGTTTTTTAAGTACATGTAATACATGCCTGAGATTTGCTTAGAAAGTCAACAAATCAGGAGACATTTTCTGAACAGAAGTAGTCATTTGGTAAATTTAGGGTTGCTTAAACAACTCAAGTCTTCCTCAAAATAATCTTTCTTGAGAACATCAAACATCTTGTAATCAAGTAGTATTTGCAAGTCAGAAATTGCCAGCACCTTTATGAATCTTTTCATACCAAATTCTCCAATGATGTGAATTTCTAGGCTTGTGAATTTATAAAGAAGACTTTGCTCATCATATTGCTGACCTATATATTAAACACTGGGCTTGTTTTTTTCTGTTGTCTGTGCTTTCATTTTTGTCTCGTTTTTGAGCTATGATCTTCTGCTCTCCTCTTGTGTCATACTGTCAATGATGATTTCTGACACTATTAAAATTGATTTCATGTACTCATGATTTATCAACTATGAAAGCTACTTTTCTGAACTTTTTACTGTGCCTCATAAAAACAGTGTCTCAGCAAAGGGCTAGGACATTCTACAGAACCACTAAATAACCTTGATTTGCAATAAAGTCATGTTCACTGTATCTTCCCTTCTCTTTTCTATTGATCTTTCTCTTTTTATTTCATCTTCTGCATTTACTTATTTTCTGGAAGGTTCTCTACATATAATATCCCTGTAATATTTCATACAGCCTTTGGAAAACACATAGGACAGTGCCATCTCTCTATGGCTTTCAAAACAAAAGAAAATACTTGCCAGGTGGAAAGATATTTGCTGACCCAGTGTTATACTCCTTACTACCAGGGTGTCTATTCCTTTCTGATCTTCAGTCCAAATTCCAGATGTTTCATTTATATTGTTTACATTTTAAGTTGTAACTGACCTTAAATGACTTTAAGAAAAAAAATTATTTTTGTTTTATTATAGAATACAGTCTCACAGCAACTTGAGAAGTGTTATTCCAGAGATCAGATTTATATCTATGTGGGAGATATACTCATTGCTCTTAACCCTTATCAGAGTCTGGGTCTTTATTCCACAGAGGTATGTGGTGTGGCTTGCATTCTTTTACTTTGTAATAATAATTATACTACTCAGGTTTTTAAATTAATTTAGATGATGCCAAAGATAGTTTTATGCAACGCCTTGAAGAAACAAATCATTACTGTTAAAACATAGAGATAGGGAAAATAGGAGGTGAATCAATCTGAATGTGGTTCCTGGTCTTCCTTTTTCCAAAAGTATATGGCAGAAAGGTAATTACTTCCAGTCATTAGTAACTGGTCTATACTATGTATCATATTAATAAACAGATGCCTACAAAATTGCAGGTGTATTATCTACCTCTGAACCAATTGGAGAGTCAAGAGTATAATTACGTTGTCTCACAGGTAATATATACTTAGTGGCTATGAAACTTGTCATTATGAATTTAAAAATTCCTTTTGACATATTGGTTTTTAGTATCAGACAGTGTGTGTTTTATGAATATGAGTATATAATTATCCATTATTCAAGCCGTAATGGCTTAAATATAGAACAGTATTCGGAATTAAGCTAAGCTGTCTTTCATTTTTAATTGGACCTATTCTCTTTTAGCTATTTGTGTATTCTAGAAAATCAGTTAATACTGTGAATAATAGTTTTTTTATGTGAGAAATAAATAATTCCGTCATCCTCTACCACTTAAAATTTACAAGAATAATGGTAAATTTATGAACCTTGAGCTTAAGTTCCAGAAGTCTGGGCTTTCACCAAATTCTGCTATCAGTTAACTTGGTGATTTGGACAAATAAATGACAGGCTGTATGTCAAATGATGTCAAAGGAAAAAAGTGGTGATCGTATGTCAGATGTTATTATATCCAGGGAAGAGTCAACAAAATGATACCCGATAAACCCAATTGTCTTATTTATAGTATCTTTTTATTTAAAGAAATAATAGTATTTTGAAACATTAAGTTCTGCTTTGGAAGTGGTATGCACTTCCAGGAGTCTTCTTTTAAATACTGCTACCAGAGTGATATTATATTCTATTATGTTACACCATATTTCTGAGCTCTTTTATGTCAGGCTTTTATTTTATATAATTGTGCATACCTGTAAGTGTGTGTAGTATGCGTGTGTAATGTGTGTGATGTTTTGGTGGTATGAAAATGTATTCTGATTTATGTTTTGTTTTAAAAATTGGGAGTTCTGCCTGTAAATAATCTAGGATTTAAACAAAAACAAAAAGAAAAGCCCCACAAAATGTGTTCTTTTTAACCTGTAGCATTCCAAACTATATATTGGAGCAAAGAGAACTGCCAATCCTCCTCACATTTTTGCAGTGGCTGACTTAGGATACCAGTCAATGGTAACATATAATTCAGATCAGGTAAGGAGAGTCTCACATCCTTAGAAATTCCCCTTTTAGCTTCTTGTGTATGGGCCACATCTTGTGAGGATGAGTCTTCTCATGGTTTCCTTCTCTCACTGTGCAGTGCATTGTTATTTCTGGAGAAAGTGGTGCTGGAAAGACAGAAAGTGCTCACCTTTTGGTTCAGCAGCTGACGGTGCTTGGAAAGGTACAATCTTTTCTCTATCCTAACAGAAATATTTATTGTATTTCAGAACCTAATGTAGCTGATTAGATTAATGTTCACTAATTCCCACATTAAATAATGTACAGAAATTATAAAACACACTTGCTATCCTCTGTGAGTTTAAAATATAACAAGCAGTAGAAAAAGTGTATGCTCTGTTTTGAGGATATTCTAACTTTTGTCACCCTTAGTAGGAAAGGCTTTATAAATGTGATTTTCTCCCTTTTAAGCCCCAGCACATTTACTGAATACTCTTTTTACTTGTCTCCTTTTGTTGCTTGCAGGTTAAAGTGAAGTTAATATACAAAAATCAATTGTATTTATATATGTTATATACATTATAAACGCATATATATTATACATAATATAAAAGTTAATTTGTATTTTATATATATCAGCAATGATCAATTAATTGAAAATTGAAATTTAAAAGTCTCATTTACAATAGCATCAAAAAATTATTTAAATCTAAGTCTCATAAAACATGTACGAGGGCACCTGGGTGGCTCAGATGGTTAAGCGTCTGCCTTCGGCTCAGGTCATGATCCCAGGGTCCTGGGATCGAGTCCCACATCGGGCTCCCTGCTCCTTGGGAGCCTGCTTCTCCCTCTGCCTCTCTCTCTCTGTCTCTCATGAATAAATAAGTAAAATCTTTAAAAAAAAAAATGTACGAAATTTGTATGCTGAAAAGTAGAAAAAACTGATAGAAGAAATCATAGAATACCTGAATAAATGGAGAGATACACCATGTTCATGGATTAAAAGACTCTATTATTACACCAATTCTTCCCAAAGTGATCTGTAGATTCAGTGCTATTACAATAAAAATCCCAGCAGGATTTTTTTTTGTAAAAATTAATAAGCTGAATCAAAAATTTATATGGAAAGGCAAAGGAGTTGTAATAATCAATTTTGAAAAAGAACAAAGTTGGAGGATTAATACTACCGGAGTTTCAGACTTACTGTAGAGTTGCAATAGTTATATTCAACATTAAAAGCATAATCCACAAAGGAAAAATTAGATTTCACAAAATTAAGACCTTCTGTTCTCTGAATGACATTGATAAGAAGATGAAACCACAAGCTGTATCCTCAAAGAAACTATTTGCAAGTCACATATCTAATAAAAGATCTCCATCCTTAATGCATATATTGTAAAAAGAAACTCTTAAAACTCAATAATAAGAGATCAAATAACAAGAAAATGAACAAAAGAGTATATCAACTATATTTAAATAATAAAAATTTATTAAAAAAATGAACAGAAGATTTGAATAGTACTTTACCAAAGACAATATGTAGATGGCAAATAAATGAAAAGATGTTCAACATCAGTTGTCATTAGGGAAATGCAAATTAAAATGAGACACCATTATACACCTATTAAAATGGTTAAATTTTTTTTTAAGTCTAACAATACCAACTGCTGAGAAGGATGTGGAATAGCTGGAACTCTCATATATTGCTGGTGAAATGCAAAATAATGCAGTCACTTTGAAAAACAGTTTGGAAGTTTTTATAAAGTTAAACTACACTTACCATACAGCCTAGCAATCCTACTCCTCGGTATTTATCCAAATAAAACAAAAACTCATGTTTATACAAAAACAACAAACAAATAACTATTGTGGCTTTATTTGTAATCTCCAGAATGGATAAACAAACTGGTACATATAATCAGTGTAATATTGCTCAGTAACAAAAAGGAACAAAGACTGACACAAGGAATGAATCTCATTAGATGAGATTTGGATGCTCAAATGCATTGTGCTAAGTCAAAGAAGTCAGATTCAGAAGACTACATACTATATGATTCAATTTATATGTCATTCCTACAAATTTAAAATTATAAAGACAGAAACAGATCAATGATTTTCACAGGCTGGGGGTGAAGGGACAGGTTGACTACAAAGAGTAATGATATAGTTTGGGGGAGTGAGGGAACTGTCCTTTGTCTGGATTGTAGTGGGGTTTATATGATTGTTTATAAAAACTTTTAGGGGTGTCTGGGTGCCTCAGTCAGTTAAGTGTCTGTCTTTGGCTCAGGTCATGATCCCAGGGTCCTGGAATCAAGCCCCACATTGGGCTCCCTGCTCAGTGGGGAGCCTGCTTCTTCCTCTCCCTCTCCCTCTACCTGTGTTCTCGCTTGCTCTCTCTGTCTCTCTCTCTCTCTCTCTCTCAAATAAATAAAATCTTTTAAAAAAATTATCTATAAAAAAACTTTTATTTTTTAAATTTTATTTTATTATGTTATATTAGTCACCATACAATACATCATTAGTTTTGTTTTTTTTGTTATGTTATGTTAATCACCATACAGTACATCATTAGTTTTTGATGTAGTGTTCCATGATTCATTGTTTGCGTATAACACCCAGTGCTCCATTCAATATGTGCCCTCCTTAATACTTTTAGAACTGTACTCTATAAAGGATAAATCTTACTATATGTAAAATATACCTTAATTTTTGAAAAAAGGAAGTTGATGATAGATATTTGGTTTGATTTTCCAGGTAGGGTCCTTGAAGTAAGTCAAGAATTATATGTTCGTATTAGAATGACTAAAAAAAAAAAACCCAAAAAACCCAAAATACCCCTTGTGCAAAACTTATCCCTGTGAGTATTTTTATTATGATCCACATAGTTATAGAGCATTATGTTAAAATTTTTGCCATTATTGTGATTTTAGGAATCTTGTTTTTTAAAGTACTGTGAGTGCAAGGACAGACCTAATCTCTCTATAAAAGTGTGAGGCCTCCTCATCCTATCAGAACAACTGCTTAATGGAGTCTAATTCATTTTCAGAATGAGTTGAAAGATTTCTGTGTTTATATTAAAAATCAATGAACTAGTTTTAATATTTTCAATCACGTGTCTGAGTATGGAATAGAAACATAACTCTGCTCAGTGGGTTAATTTGCCCTCCACTAACCGGACCTATGACCCCTCGGGACTAGAAGAGCTAGTAGAGCCCAGGAAGCTAGTGCTCAGGGCTGTCATCTCAGTCCCTTTCCCATCCCACGGCCCAACCACTCCCCCTCTCCTTACTTCTAGGATAAGCATCACAGTGAAAAAAAGGTATCATTTTGGAGGGAGAAGGGTGGTGAGGCACAGCATACTGTCCTGCTGTGAAGAGTTGAACGCCTGAATTAATTTATGCGAGGGCCGTCCACGAGGGCCTTGCTATTCCTTCTTGGTTTGTGATTTGACAGAGGGTCTCATCAACGATGGATTAACTTATGTGTGAATTTTGTTTTGCTTATGCCAGCAAACTTGCTTATCTAATGACTTTATCTTATCCTAGATCTAAAAATGTGACTTAATATTAATTGGGGAGATATATATATATCCCTGAATCCTACCCTTATTAGATCTTATTATATTTTTTTACTTATCTTCTTGATAAAGATTTACCAGACACAAAAATGGGATGTTTGGTGGATTGAATTTACCTTTGTAATATGCCGTCCTCAAAATCTTACTTGGTAAGGCACTGCTGTTTAATACAGGCGGATAAAGATGCTTTCTCACCTTTCTCCTGAGTGCAAGACCAGCCCCAAACATTTTAAAGAGCCAAGTTTGTCCCAGTGCTCATTACTGTCTTCTCTCAATGCTTATTGCCTCTTTTAGAAGATACTAAAAGGCTTTATATGCCCTCAAACCCTCACTGTGAATGCCCCCTCCAGCCCATCTACGTACTAATGTAGTCTCTGTTCCAGAAATACCAACAGCTCCTCTCCCTTACTTATATAATTTATATACCTTCAACATAGCTAATCTCAACAAGGTATTACCCTAAACACAATCTACTCTAATTGCTACCAAGATATGAATGACTGATACCTCCTTAACCGTCATAGAGTGGGGAATGCTTTCTAAAAGAGGTTGATTTTTAACCAACTAAATTTCTACTTGGTGGAATTTCCTGTAAGGTGGTAAATAAGTAAAAAATAATAATCATAGCAATGCTTGTTTGAGGGAAGGAATATAGGAGATGGGGTAAGAGAAAATAGAGGGACAACCAAGCAGGCCTGCTGACCTGGACTGGGGTTCTACCCCTTCCATCCACACTTTTGAGCTGTTCTCAGTTTTCACGGTAATTCCATGTGCCCTGCTTCTGAATTCACAAGTTAGCTTTACTACCTGATTTTCAGCTTTAGCAGCTTCCATGGAAGCAACAGAAGTGGTTCTGGCTTTGGGGAACATTTGGATGGGGCCCCAGGGAGGGAGAGGAAGAATAACAAAATGAGAGGTGTACCCCACTGTGCATAGACTGCTTATGAATTGCGTTTATAAATCAGGCACTAGACAGAACAATATGTCAATAGAAAAAGTATAGAATATCTCTTTGCTCCTTGAAGAAAGCAAGTGAGAACACACATACGGGAAGGGAAAAATAGACCAGATATTATAATATCTGGCGGTATGCCAAGAGTATGATCTCAATGCCTTTATGTCTACATATAGTGCTTATCAAAGAAGAGGCATTTTATTATATGCAAAATTAATTTTTTACATTAAAAAAAATCTTGACATTTTTCTCTAGGCTAGTAATAGAACCCTGGAAGAGAAAATTTTACAAGTGAACAATTTGGTGGAAGCCTTCGGCAATGCCTCCACTATTATAAATGACAATTCCAGCCGATTTGGAAAATACTTAGAAATGAAATTTACCTCTTCTGGAGCTGTCGTGGGAGTACAGATTTCTGAATACCTTCTGGAGAAATCGCGAGTTATCCACCAAGCTCTGTAAGTCAGTGTCAAATATATTTTTTTCTGGGAAACAAGCAAAGACAATGTTTTTGTTTTAATAATAGTAAAATGTCTACTTATTCAAAAAATTCAACAAAATGTTATTGATCATCCAATACGTGCAAGGCACTTATTGTTAGAATCGAAGAGATCCCTCAGCACTGTCTTATTCTCACATGTTACATCTAGTAGAGGAGTTAATAAATCACCTGAAATTTATGCCAGGTATAAAACCTATGCCCATCATAGATACTAACAGGATAAATTGTAGTGATTTCTGAAGTAGGAGAGAATATATTTCTTTATACAAAACTAATGTGAAATTTAATTAGAAATAAGTCTTTTTTTTCTTTTAAATGCTAATATATATAAATAGATCTTTGTACTAATTCTATCCTTCCTAAGGTTATATACAAGAGACCAAATAAAAGATTCAGGTATGGGCTTAATTGTATTGCCCCTTTAATTTCCAGCTGATTTAAGCCACCAATACAATGTTTTGGTGTTAGGTTGATTGAGTTCCTTTTGGCTATTTGTAGCTGAATGATAAAATCTCTCTCCTGTCCTAATGATTCCAAAATATCTTTGTTATTCTTATGTGGAAACTATAGTCAAAACATTGGATTTGTACCTTGGTTGTTATATTATTTTTAAAAAGTGTGGTGAGTTAGGGGCAACTGGGTGGCTCAGTCCTTGAGCGTCTGACTCTTGATTTTGGCTCAGGTTGTGATCCCAGCATCATGGGAACAAGCCCCATGTTGGGCTCCACACTCAGCCTGGAGTCTGCTTGTCCCTCTCCCTCCTGCTCTGCCCCTCTTAACGCAGGTGCACGTGTGTGCTCTCTCTCAAATAAATAAATAAATCTTAAAAAAAATTGTGGCAAGTATTAGAGTCTTTCATTTTTCTTATGTAGGTTTTACACCAAGCATATCTACATTATTATAGTAATATGTCTTTTGTTAAATTCATGTCTTATTAAAGACATGACTTAAAACACAAGTCTTATTATGTATTAGTACATTATTATTTAATATAAATGCCTTCGAATTTGCTACTATTCGATTTATGAATAAATTGTGACTATAAGTTGCCTGGAGTCCACCTCCTGAACTCAGCTTTCACTGTGGAAAATTATTCTTTGATCCTCAATTCAAAATACATAGGGAATGATTATAAGATGAATATTTTGAATTGTGGCTTCACCACATACATGTTAGTTCACTTTGGGTAAGATATTTAAACCCTAAAAACCCTTCTAGGATCTTGGTTCTGCAATTTACTGTGTGTGTGTGATTTGAAATACCTAACCTCTCTGTACCTCAGTTTTTCATCTTTAAAATAAAAATAACAGGAGTACCTACCTATCACTTAAGATGATACCTGTGAAGTATTTAGCATGGTGAATAACATAGAGTGAGAACCCCATAAGTTTAAGCCATTATTAGCAGTAATAGTGTGGATAGTTGGATGAAGCTTAGAAATGACGCCTAGCGGGCGCCTGGGTGGCTCAGTTGGTTAAGCGACTGCCTTCGGCTCAGGTCATGATCCTGGAGTCCCTGGATCGAGTCCCGCATCGGACTCCCTGCTCGGCGGGGAGCCTGCTTCTCCCTCTGACCCTCCCCCCTCTCATGTGCTCTCTGTCTCTCTCATTCTCTCTGTCTCAAATAAATAAATAAAATCTTCAAAAAAAAAAAAAAAAGAAAGAAATGACACCTAGCACAGTACATGGGACATTGAAGATGCTCAGTAGATGGCAGCCACTATTAGCGATGTGTGCTGGTTCCCCAGAACTTACTGGATCTGCGTGTCAGTGCCTCTGCCACCTACAGGAACCTTGGGGTCTCACGCACATATGGAGACTGAACTGGTTCTCAAAATAATCTGTCCTATTCTCATAACTGTGTAAGACTCTTCTTGAGGCCTCTGGGGAAGAACAACCTAATAGGCTGAATTACTGAGATTCAGATGGGACCACCATAATGCACAATGTCAGGGGGCACCATTCACAGGGGGTTCTCTAGAGCTCTGTGCTGGAGCACCATTCACAAATTCCTTGTGAACAGTAACCTCTGGAGCTCCCCAGTGAGGCCCTGGGTTTGTAACCGTAGAAATAATCTTGTTAATACTAACTGGTATATTGTAGGATCTATTTCGGGAAATAGGACAATTAGGATTATACTTTAGACATACTATAAATTAATTAAGCTTTTTTCCAACTATCCTGAAGAACTGTTGTAGTTTTATTTGAGATAGAGAGAATGAGAGACAGAGAGCATGAGAGGGAGGAGGGTCAGAGGGAGAAGCAGACTCCCTGCCGAGCAGGGAGCCCGATGCGGGACTCGATCCAGGGACTCCAGGATCATGACCTGAGCCGAAGGCAGTTGCTTAACCAACTGAGCCACCCAGGTGCCCCGAACTGTTGTAGTTTTATAGTGTTGTTTATTGGGTACCCCAATAAACACTTTAAGTTCCAAATTTACAATTAGGTTGAAATCCAATTCGGTTTGTAATTGGAGCATGGCTGCCTTATAATTTTTCCATTTTAAAAATTTTTTTACCCTCATTTTTTTCTTTTACTTAATTTCAATTGCATTTTTAAATTCTAGAGAAGCTTTTTGTGATCGTTGAAAATGAAGTATCAAGTAGATAATTTAAGAATTCTTGGGTCACAGAGCATAAGGCAAAGAGTAGAGAATAGATCTGAGGTGGCAGAAAAGAACCAGAGCAGATGTTTATGTCTTTCTTGGTTTGTTTGTTTGTTTTTTGTCTGTTTTTTAATTTAATTTAATTTTATTATGTTATGTTAGTCACCATACAGTACATCATTAGTTTTTGATGCAGTGTTCCATGATTCATTGTTTGCGTATAACACCCACTGCTCCATGCAATACGTGCCCTCCTTAATACCCATCACCAGGCTAACCCATCCCCCCACCCCCCTCCCCTCTAGAACCCTCTGTTTGCTACCCTTTATTTTAAGGGAATAAGTTCTTTTCTCTTTTTGCCTCTGCCCATGTCATCCCACCCTAATCTCTGACCACATTTATTTTTATATATAGTTATATTTATTTATATATGTTTATATATTTAAATATTTATAAGTAATATATAAATATATTTAAGTATTTATAAATATATGTTTATGTATGTTATATATATGTTTATTTTTTTATTTCTAATGATGGCAGTATCATGTCAGTTGTGGCTTAAATTCTCATCTAAATGTAAATGATTTTAAAGAAAGGGGCTACTTACTATCAAGAAGAAAATAAGCATATTGAAGTCAATGCTCGATAATTCTCACAAGTAGAAATTATAGCTGTTTCACTGCACTTGTCCCCCATTATGACAGTTTCCTGCAGCAAGTACTGATTGTGTTTCTCTCAGAGGGCCAGCACTTTACCAGATGCTGCAGGAGGCGTCCACAAAGTGGCAGATGTGGTGCTCTCTATGGAGGAAGGAAAATACTATTTATGGAGCACTTACTGTGTGTTGGGCACTGTGCTAAGCACTTTATATTCATTATCTATTTTAATTCTTACAGCAATAGGATGGATATTATTGTCTATTTTATACATGAGGAGACTGGGACTGAGAATTGTAATAAGTCTCACCTAATATCAAAAAGCTAATAAATGACTGAGTTGGGGTTTGAACCCATGTCTCTGTCTGACTCCAAAATCCACCATTCATCCATCCATCCATCCATTCATCCATCCATCCATCCGTCCGTCCTTTTGGCAAATATTTATTGAGTGCTACTATGAACCAGGAACTGTACTAAGCACAGGAGATATAAAGCTAAATGAGATAGGATTCCTCCAATAAAGCAGCTCAGTCTTCTGGATAATGTATGCTTTGAAACAAAGCTTGCTGATCAGTTGTTGGTTTCTAGTCTCTCAGGAAAGTAGGCAATGAGTTCATCTGCTAAGTGTGAGCAGGTAAGGGTGAAGGGAGAGGGACTGAGGAGACTATGGTCCTGGAGGGAGTCTTGGTGGAGGAAGCTGGAATTAAAAATGAAAAATTAAAAGCACTATTTCATGAATATCCTGTGAGGCCTTATGAAGGCAAAGCCGCATTTTTGGCTTTCCAAGCCTTATTGCTGGCCACTTTATCGAAGATTCAAAGATTTCATGGGTGGCATAAGCCACACCCTTGTGAGAACTTTGCCACAGTTTTGAGGGTGTTAGAGGTCTTGGCTGCATAGGTGATCCCCAGGGTCCAGAGCAGGTGAACACATATGAGACAGACCTGAGGACCTTTCTACAAATGGCTGAGTGGAACTCTGAAGAAGTATTAGAAGATCCACAGTTAGAAGTGGGGTCAGTCAGAGAAATACTATTCGGTAACTTGCTGAAACCATACGTTTGTCCCCAGCCATTCTGACCTAGGAACCACGGGGGGTCCTGTGAGCATGTATGGGGCGCTATGATCCTCTGTCTTCTGAAATACAGTTTTGATGTAGTTAGGGCAAGATATGAGATAGGTAATTTTTGGCAGTATCTTCTTTTCCTGTTCCTTGAATCCTCTGATTGTTTATCCAACCGAAGGTCAATGTATTTCCTATAGCATCTCTAGGTCCTGTCAAATTACAATTCTCAGTAAATGTAAACTGATAATTAAAGAGAAAACCACCAATTTTGTGTGTCTACATTTTTGACTCACATCTCTAATCGTATAGCACACTGTTTAAGCATTAAAGGTGTGACACAAAGAGCAATCGATGTGATTTCATTAGAACAAAGCAAACTAAATTATGTGCTGTGCCAGTCTGCAAGAACTTTTATTATGTTGTGGTGAGAAAAGACAAGAAGTAAACTTTTAGCTTTGTTCTAACCTTGCCCATGTACAATGCTATTGTTCATTAAAGTGTTACTGGTGACTGCTCAAGAAATGGCTAGGGACATCCATTCTAAAGGACATGCCGGTCCTTGCTTCAGTGTCCGAGCCCATGGACCACCCTTTGCTTGAAAAGCTCACCTGTCTTTGGTTTCTCA